TATGGAAGCCTGCATTGAGGAGCAGAACTCGACTCAGTCCATTTGCTATAGGGTGCTGCTGTTTTCAAACATACACCACGGTGCTGCGGCTCAAGAACCGCTCAAGGTGCTTGTAGACAGCAGAAGGGTCGCAGCATCACGTAAGGTGAGCATTTAAACCTAGCACCCTCACGAAACACTGGCTTGACTGTGCATGCAACAACCTACATCCCTCAACAGCTCATAACGAAACAGGACTTCGTCAGATGGTGATGCATGGTAACCTTTAAATCGTCACAAGCATTCAGACGATTGGGTGAAAAGGGAATTTTCATCATAAAGTCCTTTTATTGAGCAAGGAAACACAAACGCAAGAAATCGTGGTTGATACTTCCATGGTTTTTCTCAGGATCAGCCCCGCATAAGCGAGTCAGGTTTCATCGAGCAGTACAATTAAATTGTATGCGTAAGACGAAACCAGTGGCCCAAGACTAGGAATATGGAAGTCTGCATTGAGGAGCAGAACTCAACTCAATCCATTTGCTATAGGGTGCTGCTGTTTTCAAACATACACCACGGTGTTGCGGATCAAGAAGAACCGCCCAAGGTGCTTGTAGACAGCAGAAGGGTCGCAGCAACGCCATAAAAGGCGAGCATTTAAACCCAGCGCCCTGTAGACTGCTCCTTAAGGAGCCAATGGCATACTAACGAAGACACACAGAAATAGGTAAAAGCTCATTCACTGATCTGACGGCCACCACGAGCGACGTGCAGTGATACTTCCATGGTTTTTCTCAGGATCAGCCCCGCATAAGCGAGTCAGGTTTCATCGAGCAGTACAATTAAATTGCATGCTTAAGATGAAACCAGTAGCCCAAGACTAGGAATATGGAAGCCTGCATTGAGGAGCAGAACTCAACTCAATCCATTTGCTATAGGGTGCTGCTGTTTCCAAACATACACCACGGTGTTGCGGATCAAGAAGAACCGCTCAAGGTGCTTGTAGACAGCAGAAGGGTCGCAGCATCACGTAAGGTGAGCATTTAAACCCAGCGCCCGACATTCTCAGAAGTCACAACATAGAAGCAAGGAAAAGACTACATCTAGGACAATGCCATTGGCTGTAACACGACATAAATGACGCCTTCTTAAAGCTTCAGTTGCACTTAATGGTCGGTTGGTTTTGAGTTGAGGAAAAAGGTGAACCCCCAAAAGCCGCATACACCGAGTCATCGGCAGAGGGCTCAGCGATCTATGAGTGCAGATGTTTCCCTGTAAACGTGTGTGCACATGGCATGTTTGGGGGTGGCAACAAGAAGATAATCATCTTACATTTTGTGTTTTTGCTTCGTTTATTGCATGCCTTAGAGGACAGCAGTTCTCTTAAGAGGCCCATAGAACTTGGCCTTCTCCTCTGATGTCTGGAAGCGGCCGTGTCCAAACTTGGAAGACGTATCGATGAACTTGAGGTGGATGTTCTCAAGAGCCCTACGAGAAGTGCGAGGCACAAGGGTCTTCCTTAAGGTGATGGGTCTCTTCTTGCTGCCCACGATGCATCCCTTGATCATGATGAAGTCGCTGCGGACTTCACCGTAATGGGGGAAGCCGCCCATCGGGGTAATGCGCTTCTCCGTAAGATCTGCATCGGTGGAGCCATTGCGAGGATCGTTGCCGCTGCCAATGCGGTACACCTTCTTGTTCATCTCTGTGCGATGGAAATAACCCTTCTGACCGTGGCGAGGCACTTGGAACTGCACACGAGCAGGGTGCCAAGCACCAATACAAGCCACCTTACGCAGACCTCTGTGGGTCTTTCGAGGCAGACGTGTCACACCGAAACGAGACACAACACCCTTTACTCCATGACCCTTAGTCACACCAATCACGTCCAACATCTCATCTTGCTGGAAGACGGCGCTAATCGGGATGGGAGACTCGAACATCTTTGTCACGAAGTCCACCTGGTAACACACAAAACCCGGCAAACCCACGAAAGAATACGTGAAAAGAAACGGACAAAAAGATGGAGCTAAAGGGGAGAAACTCGCAAAAGAAGCCCACGGGGAAAGAACAAGCAAAAACAGGCACAACGTCATTCAACCCCCGGAGAAGAGCACGACACGCCTGCTTGCTACTACGAGGAACAAGGCGTGCGCAAGTATCCCCCCTGCAACAGATAATGTGGTTTGATTACTTTTTGTTATAATTACCTTATCGGCGACACTTCCTCCGTTGACTTGGATCTCCATAATGTGAGCCTTGCGGAGGCCAGTAGGGGTCTTGCTGGGTTGGGTGTGGCAGATAGCACGGACGACAGAGCAGTGCTGCTTGATGGTGTCGATCTCCGCCTGCATCTTGTTGTTTTCTGCGTATTTTCTGGAGTATCTGGTGAAGGCCTTCTTCTTGCTCTTGTACCAGTTTTTGTAGAAGCGCCTGCGGCACTCCTCGCTTAAGTGGCCTGCCCATACGCTCGACAGAGCCCTCAAACCCCTAGGAGTCTCAATGTAACCAACAACGCCAACGCAGATCATAGGGGGGGACTCAACGATGGTGACGGCCTCCACGACCTCCTTCTTGTGCAGCTCTGCATGCAATAAACAAACAAGCTTGAAGGGTCAACTGACAAAAGGCTAGGGAAACATGAAACAATCACAAGCTAATGAGAAAAGGACTGACTATACAGAAAAATGGTACTTCCATGGTTTTTCTCAGGATCAGCCCCGCATAAGCGAGTCAGGTTTCATCGAGCAGTACAATTAAATTGCATGCTTAAGATGAAACCAGTAGCCCAAGACTAGGAATATGGAAGCCTGCATTGAGGAGCAGAACTCAACTCAATCCATTTGCTATAGGGTGCTGCTGTTTTCAAACATACACCACGGTGCTGCGGATCAAGAAGAACCGCTCAAGGTGCTTGTAGACAGCAGAAGGGTCGCAGCATCACGTAAGGTGAGCATTTAAACCCAGCGCCCAAGGTTGTGGAGCGAATCAGAAATTCAAGATACACTGCAACTGTGCCGTGCAGACTTAAAAGGAAGAGAGCAACTGCACATATTATATATTTATCCTTAGATGTCAAAGGAATAAACTTACTTGATCCTGGACGCTCCACCTCGCGGACGATGTGGGTCATGCCAGCCTTGTAGCCCATGAAGGCTGTCAAATGAGGCGGCTTGGAGGGGTCATCCTTGGGGAAAGCCTTTACTGCACATAAAGCAAACACAACAGAGAAACACTGGTGATATTTCCTATCCAGTCCATGCCCGCCGCTGTACCACTCCCTGATGATGAATAACGCCTCTGAAAAAGATATAGAGCATGCAGCTCCCCGTTTCCAAATAGCCGCAAATGGATAATACATCAAGCTACAGCTGCTCAAAATACGTTCAAGAGAGAAAATCCAGCTAAATTAAGCCGCAAAATAAACCCCTTAAATGCTGTGGCTCAGTGCCCCCCCGTCGTGCGTGCTGAGTTATCGCCCGTGGGGCCTCTCCTCAGCAAATACAACATATCGAATAAGAACTACGGCATATAATTGTAAACCCAGCAAACAATCAATAATATGCAATGAACAGGGTGCCCCCCGAGATCATCACATATTTGCCTACCTTTTCCCCTATGGCGGCGGCAGCGCTTCCTTGGGCAGAAGCCCAAAGAGCCGTGGCGTGGCCGTTCAAATTTCCTATGCGACATTTTTCATGAAAAACGGAAGTCGAAATTCACAAAATGCCGCAAAAGTCTTTAGGCTTCGCCCCACATGCCTCTCACTTCTTACCAGCGCGCCGGGTGCAGCAGCAGCAGCAGCAGACGGCCGCAGCGGCCCCCCACAGCCCCGTCGCTGCTGCAGCGCCCTATGTTCGCAGACAGCAACACCCAGCAGCGCCTGCATGCATCTGTGGTATGTTGGATTGAAGGAGATGTTGGCGACTAATTTAAAAGAATATATTTAGGGCTGAAAAAAAATGTTAAAACGGTTTCTTCTTTTCCGCGCAAATACCTCCCCTAGCCCAATGCTGCACACCATAGGCCGAATGTGCGTTCTTTGCCCTTCCCTACAAGCTTCTTCGTACTTTTTCAAGCATCTTAGGCAGTTGAAAAAACGGCTAGGCCCAAATTAACCTAAAGCTGCTGGTGCTCAGCTAGTGCCCTATTAAATGAGCACCAGCAGCCGGAGAACCCTCATTGGTGAATATGCCTTACGAACCAGGTTATCCAGAGTTAAGTAGTCTAGCATACTCTCGAAGGAATTTGCTAATGCACCTGAGGTTGGCGCATAAACGGATGCAATGCAGTAGTAGGAAAGCTGCATGCAAATCGGCAGCGTACAGCTACTCACAATGCTTCCAGCCTACAGTGACTGCGTAACGCTTGCCGGTAAGATTGCACCATATCGAGGGATTGTATGGAGTTTCAGCAGAGCCAAAATACTTAAGTACGGAATTTCATGAGGTATCTGAAATATATCGCTAGTCTCCAACCACGCAGGTTTCAACAACTAAATCGGGAGGTACGGCGGCATGCCATGAGTTGCTGCACACCTTGCTGCAACACAGGGTGTAAAACAGCCCCTCATACAAGCACAAGAAAGCCTTCTTTTCTGTATGAGTGATCAATGTAGGCCGTTGCTGCGAATTTCTGCCGGTGTATCGTTTGTCTACTAGAACGGGGTAAGGGTGCAGGTTGGGGACTTCGAGAACTTAACGAACTTCCGATTATCCTCTTAACCGTCCCAGGATATCGACACTTGTAGGATGATGGAACCTTCACTTTAGATGTATAGAAAAGCATTGATTAGAAGATAAAAAGCAAGGGGAACAAGCCACCCGATGGCGGAGTTCTTCAGTCTTTCTCATCCTCCTTGGCAAAGGTTGTCAATCTGGTGAAATACAGTTTCCTGACTGACACAAAATTGACTTCTGTTAGTTAGAGCGGCAACCCACAATGTAATCGCAATATATAAAATAAAAATTACATAGCAGGTGCTAGCCTTCTCTAGTATTCGGGGGTCTTGGGCACAGCAGAACAAGCGCATGGAGGTATCAGGGAAGCGGAAACATGATGTGCTTGTGATGCACCTTGTTGCTGCAACTAAACAAATATGCGGGACAGCAGCATTCAAGTACAGCTGAGCATTCTCTGTTTCATGTAGACAACTGTAGGGGGCTTCTATTTGTGTGTTTGTTGGGTACTAAGGGATAGTAGGCGTTCACGAGCCCTACGACGAAGTTTTACGTGCTACCATGAGCTCAACAGAGGACAAGTTCGAAGGGGTATACAGTCATAATACTTAGACGAATTGTTCCCCTGAAACAGCTGGTCTTCCTCCCGTTTTTTCGGAGACCTCTGATCACCGACATAAAAGGCAGAGGCGCGTCTCATTTAGGTGGTGGCCTATCAGTAGCAACGCGTGCTGCTGTAACTTCTCCTACAACTTCACGTGTAACAGCCCCCATGCCCCCCTTTTTATGGGTTAACTAACAACACGGTGAAGTTGATACTAGTTGAAGTTGATACATGCGATTCTACTGTAGAACAGGCTGACTGCCGACAGCCAAGCAAGGACAGATAGTTTCTTAGTGAAATATCTACCAACTTAATACATATTATGCAACAAACGTGAACAACATCTCGGATCCAAGCACGAGAGGTTCTTAAGTAGCCACTTAACCAAACGCTTTCTCATACACGGGACTCCAGTAAACAGACACTAGACCAGTCACCTGTGCGTGCATTAAGGGACTTGTATGCATCAATGGCAGGAGTTCACTGCTGTGCTGCATGCAGCATAATTATGTTTAGCGTTATCAAGCAGAAGCAACACGCGCTGCTGTAACTTCCCCTACAAGGCAACCTCACGATTTGAGGTGCGAGACTACAGACTACACCTCAACTGAGAATTAGCTATATCACTTACCTAACTAACCTGTTGCAACCAACACTGCAGCAAGACTCGTTTGCTGTTTCTCTCCTGCAGCAAGACTCGCTAAGTGTTTGCTGTTTCTCTCCTGCAGCAAGACTCGCTAAGTGTTTGCTGTTTCTCTCCCCACAAAGCGACTATAACTTCGAGATTCATCATTATTACAACACTGCGCGAACAAGTCGTAGGAAACGACGTCACAACGGGGTCAACTTTACGGAGTTTAACGAGAAATCTGCATGCGCTACCGCTTCCACAGGGCCTTTTGTTCGCCATGGGCCAGTCTAAGTTGCAGTTGAAAACGTTAAAGGCAGACGTTCTCCCTCTGTACAGCAGAAGGGATTACAGTGAAGGCAACTGTGAAGAAATTTCCCCCCATCCCCCGCAGAACAAAACAAACAAACATGCCTTAGGCATGAAAATTCGCAGGGAGCTGAGTATGCCCCTGCTGCATAAACAGCCGCCCCTTAACAGAACTTATGTTGGTTGAATGGAAGAAAGAAGGGGTTTCCTAGGAGTCTGCCGCATGCAGTGCTTCTCTTTGGCACATGCATGGCCTAAGGCGACTCTTCTTGCATCTACTTATGTTTCCTCTTGCAGCAATGCCTCTATGGGCTTGCATATACCATCCAGGTGTACAAAGATGTCTCTCGAAACAGCGTCACTCAGCATCAGCCCATCGGGCGCATGTAGCACCAGCCGGCAGCTAATGCTAATATTGGCGCTGCAGCGGTGTCTATTTAGCATGTGAAGAAGCCGCATTGCCTTTGCTGCCACTGCTGTAGGGGATTCACTTGCTAATATCCTCAACCTCCACTGCCCTTCCGTCTCCGTCTTAAGCAAGTCAGCCACTTCCTCCCTTAGCTCCTTATACAATGCGGCGCATGCAGCCCCAAAGGGTTGATGGATAATACTGTCGGAAGGGCTGTTGGGGCCCTGAGAGGAAAGCTGCGGATTAGGGTGCACGTACACCCGGATTTCCGCCACTTCAGGGCGACGCAGGTAGTCAGCAGCACCCGACAACACCGCAGGAAGCACCTGCCGCAGCAGCAGCAATACCCCATTTCCGTCACTTGTTGCTACTGTTGTTGCACCTGTCATCACACCTGCATCTGCTGAAGTTGCTGCTGAATATTCAGCTGTCTGGCAGTCCGCAACAGCCGCGCTGCAGCGCAGCAATTCCTCCATTGTTGCTGATGGCTGCAGCAAAATCCTCACTGCATTTTGAACCTCAGCAGCTCGTGCTGCTGGGTCTTGAATTCGTGCTGCTGCCGCTGCTGCTGCTGCTTTAGTGAGGGCGAGAAGATGCATTAAATTAACACCCTCGGAGGTGCGGAGACTAAGCATCAGCAGCTCCTGCATTCGCGTATATGCCCACCCCGTAAGGCCCGTTGTGCACTTACCATGAGCCCGCAGCCCTGCATGCATGTCTTCTTGTGCTGCTGCTCGCTGCACTAGTGCCTTGTAAGAAGGCAAGCTGAGGCACAAACACCAATACTAGCCAAACAAAGTGATGCAGCAAAGTGAAGCAGTAGAAGCAAGTGCAGCATAACGTAGCATCGAATTCTAAGGGGGATTTTAATTAAGGTGTATTACATGCTTGCGTTGAACATGTCTAATTAACGACGCACTTTTGGGGGTTTGTTTGTCTTTGGCCTCTTACAAAGGAAGATGCACCCATGCCAAACCCAAAGAACGTCCCACCGCCCCAGTACATCTGAGAGTGTCTGCACCTGCTGCTGCTGCTGCTGTTGCTGCTGTTGCTGTTGCTGCTTGGCCGTGACGTGTGCTCAGCTCTCTCTCCGTCTGAAGAAGAAATACCGTAGCAATCGGCATGCACGCAACACGGCATGTTTAGGTGTATAAGCAGCAGTGCATGTGCATTCATGAGTATGGGTACATGCGTACAACAAATAAGAAGATTCCCCTGGTAAAAAGTCACTTAAAAAGGAAACATAGCGCAGGCATGCCCCACTCGAGAGCTATCTTCTGCTGGTGCTGCTGCTTCTGCTACTGCTTCTTGTTCTGCTGCTGCGGCCATCTGCGACAGAAAAAGGCGGGGATGTGTACACTGCAGCACCTGAGGTAGACGGATAGCGAAGAGCGAAAGACGAAACTTCGTAATGTTCATAGCCTCGCTGCTGAAGGAACCTGCAAGCAATTGAGAAGAAGATCCATCGTGCTGCTGGTGGTTGCATGCGCCATGGCATATCCTTAAGCACATCTTAACTTTGCTGCTGCGTCATCTGCTGCAGCATTCGCTGCAGCACTAGCTGCAGCAGCTTACCGAGAAGCAGCGGTGAGGACAGCTGCTGAGGTGTCTGCATCAGGGAGCGACTTTGGAGGCCTTCGATAGAAACGAGAACCTTCATCAAGCTTCAGCGCATTCAGCAAAGACACAAGGCAGAAGCAGTGCATCACCTTGTTGCTGCAGTGCATGCAGCAGAGGTATTAGCAGCAACAACTAATCTCGTTGTTGCTGCTGCACCCGCTGCTGCCTCTGCTGCCGCAGCTGCGTTTACAACGTCTGGTGCTACAAGGAGCTCCGTCCATCGCTGCTGCTGCTTCCTCACTAACTGCAGCAGAAGCAGCAGCAGCAGCAACAGCAGCAGGGCGCATGCTGGCCTTACTTGGAGCTCGTATAAAGATATATGACCAACACAAAGACGCGTCATCAGCCCTAGCTCTCGCAGCAACTGCTGCTGTGTCTGTACACTAAAAATTATATCAACAGAAGTCCGATGAAGCAAACCATAGCGACGCAGCAAACGCAGCGCATGCAGGCTGTCCCGACTGTGGCTAGGCACCATGCTGCTGCTGGTGCTGCTGCTGCAGCTGCTGTTGCTGTCGCTGCCGTTCTCGCAGCTGCTGCCACTGCTGCTGTTGCTGCAGCCGCTGCTGCTGGTGCTTCTGCTGTTCGCGATGCTTGCCGGGTACCTGCCCAGGATTTTGAGAGTTGGTTCATGGAGTGTCTGTACACCTAACGAGAAACGGTTGATTCCAAGATATAAATACTGCTGCAGTCGCTCTTCGTCCAGTGTACCTGCAGCAGCAGCAGCAGCAGGGGAAGCTAAACAGCAGCGTCTCGAGCAAACATGCATTTAAGGACAGGCGCAGCTTCAAACGTTTCATGCTTACCTGGGTATATCTCAATTGACACCTCAGGCTGTTTTTCCTGCTGCCGTTGCTGCTGTTGTTGCTGCCGCCGTAGGGCGCCTTGTGTAGACTTAGGAAGGTTCCCCCGTAGCGCGTCATGCAGCAACAGCTGCTGCTGCAGCAGCTGCTGCAGATCAGCCTCAAATGCTTTAATTTGGTGCAGCAGCTGCTGCAGCATATCTGGTGGCATCAAGGACGGCGTTCCCCCGCCGAAGTAGACAGAGCGCAGCAGCCGGCTTCTTCCTGTTGCTCCAGCAGCAGCAGCTGGTGCTGTAGCAGTAGCCGGCATTGGCGCAACAACACATTTGCTGCCTGACGTGTTGGCAACTGCTGCTGGGAACAGGACACGTACAAGTGCTTCCTGCACATCAGGTAGAAGTAGTGCCGTTTGCCGGTGCTGCTGCTGCTGCTGAATCTGCTCACCTTGCTGCTGCTGTTGCAGTAGCTGCTTCAGCTGCTGCACGCGTTGTGTGTGAGGTTTTAAGAACGCCTCAAATTCTGCTGCCATCTCCCGCTGAACCAGCGGAAGATATCCTTCTGCTGCTGCTGCTGCTGCTGTTCTGCTGCTGCTGGGCAGCAGCACAATGGGAAATGCGCAGAAATGACATCGGCGCAGGCAAAACGGCAGGTGTATGTATACACTAAACTCGTGCGCACTCATCAAATCCAGGGTAGCATTGCTGCTGCTGCTGTTGTCGTTGCTGCTGCTGTTGTTGTTGCTACAGCTGTTGTATGTGCTGGTGGCGCTGTGGGAGTTGTTGTTGCTGCTGCTGCCGCTGCTGGCCTCTGAATCTGGCTTCTCCAGAAAGGCAGAATTCGCGTGCCGTTGCTTGTGTTGTTGTTTCTGCTGCTGCTGGTGGTGAAAGCACTTGGTAGGAAGGGGCCGCTGCAGAGGATTGAAGACATTGGAAAGATTTGGGCATTTTTCGCTCTCCCCGATAAGAGGTACGTTTGAAATAACACGTTTAAAGGGATTAGTAGCAGGAGAAGCCGCAGCAGCGGCACGCAGCGGGCTGCTGTGCTGATGCTGCCGTTGCTGCAGCAGCAGCAGGAAGCTGCAATTGCCTGTATTGTTGCATACACCCTTTTGGCGCAAACACTGCAGCAACTTAGGCGGAGAGGAAACCCTAGCCTGCAAGAAGAAAAGGTTTAAAGAGGGAACAGCAGCATGCATCTGCTTGCTGCTGCTAGCAGCAGGGGGAAGAATAAGAAAGCCCCAAGAACAAGATGGAAAGAACAGCAGCAACGAACACAAAAACAAAGAAAAGGGAAGGAAAAACGACACAAAGAAAAACAGACTAAGAGGCGTCCTCATAGGAAAGAGGCGCATTACGCAGCAATAATAGGCTCTTAGTGAATGCCTTCCTGTTCAATAAAGGCGGTTTCGGGTTCAGCGTTTAGGTCCGAGCTGCTCGTCTTCCCTCATTTTGCCGTCTTCTCAAGTAACAGCAACTCTTAAGGTATAAATGACCTTTAAAATGGCATATTTATGAATGATGCTATAAGCAACAATGGGCAATGCTTATACGCAGAAGGAAGAAAGAAGAGAAAATAAAGACAGTGTTCCCTCCTCTCGTTGTGCAACGGGGGAAAGGGGAAATTAAGATTCCCTTTGAAGGCTTTTTTGTTTTAATTTAGCAGCTAAAACACATACAAGCAAACAAAAAATGCCAATAAAAGTAAAGAAAAAGCAAAAATACTTAAAATGGGTCATCAAATGTGCTGCTAAGCAGCGAAGACGACTCGGCGGCCCGATCCCGTTCTAATGACGCATACCGGCTTATTTTGAATTAAATCTTCCATAATGTTGATTTGAAACAATAAAAAGCAACACGATAAATGATATTTCCTCAAAGGTTTAACCTAAATGTCTAAACTTTACGCGAAAACGCAGATGCATTTCAATTGTTTGTAGCTTAGTAGTCGGTTACTGTTGTTCTACTTGTCTGTGTTGTTCTGTTCGCCTCTATAACCATTTTTATTGAATTATAGTGTATTTAGTTTAAATTTAAACTCGTTTGTATCAATCTAAATAAAGTAACACCGTTACGATGAGGATATTTTAGGGACTCAGTCGCCTCTGCATAAGGAGAATGAACATCCAGGCTCGAGCCTAGCGAGAGGGATGGTTATTCTCCGCGTTGTTCTGTAGAGTGAAAATACAACAAAAATTGAAATAATGAACTAAAATCGATTTTTGATGACTCATTTCTCGTAAAAATGCATTTTAACCGCCATTTTGCATTGGAAGCAACAGATAGGCAGGCGATGAAGCCATCTACCGATATCCTTCCCTTCTTAGATGCACAAAATGCAAATAATAATGAGACAAAAACAAACAACTCATGCAGTAGAGGCAGTATTTCAAGAAAGCTAAAGATGTATTAAATGCTGCATTGCTACTCAGATGGGGAAGAACTAAAACCTATAAAATCATATGAGTGTTTATAACAAGAAACACTACAAGATGGTCGACCTGCAGCTGCTGCCGATGCAGCAGAATGGAGAAGAAAGATTAACCTCCAAATCGCCTCTGTACGCTGAACAGCTCGGCAGAGAAGCTGCAGCAACAGCAACAGCAGCGAAATGCAGAAAAACTTGTGGCATGTTCTGCCCAATACATTCGACTGATACCTACTTTCATCCTTCCTGGTGTTACTCACCACTAAGAAAATACTATACCCTAAACCCTAAACCTCGCTAAGCCGTTTAGAAAAGCCAGTAAGGGCCGCAGAAGGAACATTAAGCACTAGAAGAAAAGAGACATATAATAACATTTATCTTCGCTGCTCTTTTTACCTTCTTGTATTGTTACATTAGAACAAATACAATTATGGCAACAAGGACATTATTATGACAGACCAAGCAAATAGAAAGAAAGAAAAAGCCCACAGACAGTCCTCAACGCTGCTGCTGCTGCTGCTGCCAATGCTGCTGCAAGTGCCGCTGCTGCTGCTGCTGATTTGCAGCTGAGGCCTCCTCACAGCTCTAATGAAAGCAGCGGCAGGCTCTGATGAAAGATGCAGAAGCAACAGTTGCAGCAGTAGCAGCTGCAACAGCAGCAGCTGCTGCTGCTGCTCTTGCAGCAGCAGCCAGCAGCAACTTCTGCTGCACTTGTTGGTCACTAGCGGAGGTGGGTGCCAGTAGCTACCCCAAGTTTGACTCTATAAAGCTTCAAAACTATAAACCCTAAACCCTAGACCCTAGATACACCACAAACTAGGGTTTAGTGCTTAGTACGGCCTGCCATAACCCCTGCCAGCTCCCCCACGGCCTCTATAAAGCGGCCTGAAGCCACCGCCGCCTCGACCTCTGCAGACATACAAGCAAACCCTTAGCCCTAAACCCTAAACCTTGCCCGAACACTACAGCCCTAAATCCTTGCCACAACTTGAACTGAGACGAGATGGCTGCGACTGCAAGCGCCGCCTTACGGTTTACTGGTGTACGGTTTAGGGTTTACGGCATATAAAAGGGCTAAGGGTTTAAGCATCTCCTTACCTTCCTCGGAAAGGAATGGCACCCCGAGGTCTCCACGCGCCACCTCTACCGCGAGACATCCCTGGAATGTTCTTTCTCTTCGAAACAACCTGTACATGCACCCAAACCCTAAATCCTAAACCCTAAACCATTGACCCGAGCCATAAGCCTAAACCCTCTTCCTAACTGCTGTAAGCTCACTTTTATTTGTCTGTCCTTCAAAGTCGAATCGGACAGCAGCACCGCGTGCTGAGCAGCAAGCTCGGAGCCGAACTCAATGTAAGCATATCCTGCAGCAGCAGCAGCAGCAACAACAGCAGCACCTGTTCAAGCCAGCCAAGCCAAACACCGTAAACGTGCAAGCAACAGCCACAGCGACAGCAACACCCGAGCACCAATAAAAGCACCACCAGCGGAAAGAAACAGCAGCACCAGGGAAGCAGCAGCCGCTATGAGCAGCAGCATCAGCAGCAGCAGCAGCGGACCCTTGGGGTGTCCTGTGAACTTGTCGACCATAATTGTAATTCTATTGATTGGTCCGCAACCTTTAAAATGTTCCTGCAAATCTGCAGGAGTCGCCGAGTAGTCCACCTGCATACCGCAGAGGCAGCATCAGGGGCAGCAACACCAGCACACACGAAAAAAAGTCAATCACCCCAACCGCTAGAAGGTGCAACCCAGGTAGCACGAACCCGAGCAGTATACGCACAGAAGGAAGCAGCAGCAGCTACTGCTGCTTCCATTGTTGCTCCTACTAGTGCTGTTGCTGCTGCTGTTATTGCACAGGCCTTACATTTCCAACGTAAACAGACCGTTTATCTGCATCGTTTGCTGCAGCAGCAGCAGCTGCTGCTGCTGCTCCGTCTGCTGCTCCTCCTTCTCCCGGCTGCAGCAGTGACCCGAACTCCGCATCTTCCTGCAAATCCTGAAGTGCGTATACAGCAGTAGCAACAGAAGCAGCACAAACTACCATGAGAGCAGCATGCATACGAGTTCATACGCTCTACACACCTGACCCTCAACTGTGTAGGAACACAGCCCAAAGCCTAGCAAGGGTTTAGGGTTTAGGGCTTTTAGTCATCTCTCACCTGCAGCTTCTGCAGCTCAGCCCATTCCTGATCAAAACCCGAAACCACCGCTTCTGTTCACAAACCCCACACTCTAAACCCTAAACCCTAGACCACCAGCTAGGTGCTTGGGTGGGTTGGCACTCGTAGGCACAAGTGGGGTAGCAGCGGCAACAGCGGAAGCAGCAATAGCAGCAGCATTGTCTTACCTGAACTCTTGCTGTCCGCTGAAACCGGATCGGATTTCTGGGCAGGGGCTGCTGCTGGTGCTGCTGCTGGTGGTGCTGCTGCTGCTGGAGCCGGAGCTGCTGCTGGCGCTGTCGATGCAGGTGCCGCTGCTGTAGCGGGTGTTGCTGCCGCTGGTGAGGTTGGGGTAGAGGCGGGAGCAGCTGGTGCTGCTGCTGCAGCGGGTGCGGGCGCTGTTGCTGTTGCCGACTCCATCGTTATACGATGCTGGTGCTGCTGCTGTTGCTGCCGCCGTCAAGACAATCTACGCCGCCTACGAGCAGTAGTCCCTGCTACTACGGCTCCTCTGTGCTTTGTTGGGCGCTGCTGCTGCAGCTGCTGCTAATGCCGCTGCTGCTGCCGCTGCTGTTTCTGTATTGGTGTCCTGTGAGCTGCTCATACAAGCAGCTGTTGAATTTTAATTTTAAGGGAACGCCCCAACACAAACTGTGATTGAAGGGAGGGGGGCAGCAGCGCATGCAGCGGCAAACCCTAAACCCCAAACCCCAAACCCTAAACCCTCAGCAGCACCACGAATGCATACACTTGCTATATCAGACAGCAGCAAAGGATTTATGCTGCTGCACAAAAAGAATTGGGGAGCTGGAAGTGCCGAAATCTTCCCAATAGCGGCAGCAGCATGAGCAGCGGCTGCTGCTGCTGCTGCTGCTGCTGCTGGTGCTGCGGCGGCGGCGTTCAAGGCACTGTCGAGCAGCAGCAGCCGCAGCAGCAGCAGCGCCGATCTTCTTGACTCATTGTGTTGTATTTCATGTACTTCCTAAGTTGTAAGCTTTAATGTTTTGCTATTACTGTTGTTGCTGTTGTTGCTGCTGTTAGGTGTTTACAGGCTTTGCTTCACCAAGGGGGCCAGCAGCAGCAATCTGCAGTGACCCTCCTCACAGGAGTTGTCGCTGCTGCTGCTGTTGTTGCTGTTCTTTGTGCAGCATTTCATCGACAGCTTTGAGTTGCAGAAGCAGCAGCAGCAGCCCAGGAGGAGCTGAAAGGACAGAAGCAGCTGGTGCGTTGTGCGCAACTGTAACAACAGCAGCAACAGCAGCAACAGCAACAGCAACAACCGCAGCGAATGTGGCGACAGTAGTTGTGGAGGCACCAATAACAGAAGCAAATGCATAAATAGCCAGGTTGGTTCGGGTTTGACCATCTGAGCGGTAGTCTATGTACGCGGTTGCTGCTGCTGCAGCGTTGTTTCTGCTGTTGTTGCTGCTGCACCCTTCTCATTAGAACTTTGTCAACGACGGAGGACGTAGCGACAGCAGAAGCACCAGAAACAACACCGGAAGTGCCCCGCACCAGCACGCACGACATGGCGCAGCAGCAGCTGCAGCAGCAGCTGCAGCAGCGGCTGCAGCCGGAGAGCCAGCAACAGGGGCCGGAGCGGAGCTTGGCAGCGATGCTGCAGCAACAACAACAACAACAACAGCAACAGCCACAGCTGCTATCCCCACAAAGCGGTTTTGCTTCTCCTGTAACTCCATCACAGAAGCCTTCAAGCGACTGCAGCGAGGAAGATGAATCTCTGCCATCAGCAGCAGCAGCAGCTGCTGCTGCTGCGGTCTTTGCAGCAGCTGCTGCCTGTCTCGCTTGCAGCTGCCCGCCTGACAGCAGCAGCAGCACCAAATGCTGCTGCAGCTGTCATATACAAGCAGACATACGCCTGCCCTTTGGAGCAGATACCGTAGAGGAGGTGCTAGAGTCCGCAGCAGAGGCTGCTGCTGCAGCGCAGCAACAGCGGCTGCGGCAGCAGCAGCAGCTGCTGCAGCGCCATCCGCAGCAGCAGCAGCAGCAGACAATGTTGGGGGTCATCCCAAACGATGGCTTGTCCTGGGAGGACGAAGAGGCGCTGGTAGATGCAGTGTGTCAGCTCCAGCAGCAGAAGCGGCTGCAGCAGCTGCTTCTGCAACAGCAGCAGCAGGATCTCTCTAGTGCAGCACAGGAGGTGCTGTTGCAGATATTAAGAAGACGAATTGCGCGTGCTGCTCCTCTTCATCGCGTGCTGCCTCTCTGTCTTCAGTTTTCTATTATCCGAGACCCTGAGGTAAAACCCCAAACCCTAGGACGCAGTTATGGGGATGTTCCTGTGCAACACTTCTCGTCGCTGTTGCTCATCAGCCGCAGCAGGAGGGTCGTATGATTCTGCTGCTGTTGCTGTTGCCCAGTTTTCTGCTGCTGTTGTTTAAATTGCTGCTGCTGCTGATATTGCTGTTGCTCCTGTTCTTGGTGCTTCTGCTGATATTGCCGCTGCTACTGCTGACGTTGCTGTTGCAGCTGCAACTCCGCTTTGTCCGAGAAGTCCTTGAGCAGCATCCGCTACGGGAGCATCTTCCCCCTGCTGTCTACATGCAGCGACTCCTCAAGTGTCTGTACACTGCAGCAGAGCTGCTGCAGCTGCCCCTCACAGATGCCTTCTGTGACTCTGTATTCGCGTAAACCCTAAACCCTAAACAGTAAACCCTAAATTCTAGAACCGTTGCAACGACGCGACAACCCCCCTAATCCATCATGCTTCCGAATCGCAGCCAGTTTGCTACTTCTAGACCTTTAAACGTCGGAATGAAGGTTTATTGTTTGGGGTTTAGGGTTTGGTGTCTGTGGTGCAGCTTGATGAGAAGGGAAGAGACGTCGCGTTACTCTTACTTATCCTTTCAAATTCTTGACAGACCGGCAGAGCAATATGTTACCTGTAGAGTGCATGTAAGCAACTAAACGCAAAACCAAAGGCAGTTTTTGCAGCAGATTTTGCAGCTGTTGCTGCTGCCGCTGCGCCCGTGCGTTTGCTGCTGGATATGGCCGTCGCCGTGTTTTCTCGGACGAATATCTGCTGCTCCTGCTGCTTCTGCTGTTGCCGTTGTTGCTGCTGCTGCAGCCAAGACACAACGAACTAGGACTACGTTCTTGGACAGCGGGCCTTCATCTAGGGGAGTACCTTGCGATGTATGGACACCAGTTAGCTGCTTCTTGCTGCTGCGCTTCCTTGGGTACCAGCAGCAGCAACAACCTTCTCAGCAACAAGAGCTGCAGCAGCACGGACAGCAGCAGCAGCAGGAGTGAAGCACCAGTAAACTTTGATGGTGCTGCTCCTGCTGCGCCGTGGCTGGCGGACCTGCTCGCGAACATCGATCGGCAGCAGCAGCAGCAACAGCAGCAGCAGCAGGAACAGGGGCAGGACGATGAGGAGGAACTCTCGGATCGGCAGCAAGACTTCAGCAGCAGCATTAGCCTAAGCGGCAGCAGCAGCAGCAGTCGGAGCAACGTCTGCAGCAGCTGCAGCAGCTGCAGCAGCTGCAGCAGCAAAGAAAGGGTTTCTATCTTAGAAATAGGCTGTGGCATTGGGTCTACTGCGGCAGCCGCAGCACAGCGCATGGAGGATCTCAGGCTTTATGCAGCAACAGACAGGACACCCTTTATTGCAGCAAACTGCAGCAGCAACCTAACCCTTAATGGGGTGTACGTACACCCTGAAGCAGCGTTGGCCGTTGCTGCAGCAGCTGCTGCAGCATCGTCTGTAGACGACACAGACGATGAACGCGAACAGCAAGACGTGCAAGACACAACGCCATGTAACACCAGCAGCAGCAGCAGTAGTAGTAGTAGTAGCAGCAGCAGCAGCAGTAGAGCGGTGTGTATGGTCGGGTGTCTAGACCTCACAAGCGTGGCTACAGATGCGCCGCAGATCTCCTCGCAAGGAATTGCCATCTTGCAGCAGCAGCAGTTGCAGCAGCAAAGCAGCAGCAGTAGCAGCAGCCCGCGAGGAAGCAGCAGCAAACTCTGCAGTAACTGCAGCAACCGGGGTGTTCCTGCTGTATACCAGTTCATTGTTGCTGCAGACTTGCTGTTTGATTTAAGTCTTAACGTCACATTAGCTGATGCCCTCAAGTTCCTGCTGGGGTGCGGAGACCTACAGCAGCAGCAACAGCAAGAGCAGCAGCAGCCGAGGAGACTTTGCGTGCTGGCGTCAACTGTGAGAGACCCAACAACTCGAAGCCACTTCCTTGGACTGCTTGCCGATCGAGGCTTGGCCTGCTACCAGGTGCTGCTGCTGGTGTTGCTGCTGATGCTGCAGTTGCTGTTACGTTGTTGCCGCTGCTGCAGTTGCTTCGGTTGTGAATGGCGATGCCAGTGGTGGCGTTACTGCTGTTGGTGCTGTTGGTATTTGTTCCTCTATACACTGCTGCTGCCCGTTGCGTGGCGCTGTATGTGAATGGGTTCCTTTCACGGTTGTATGCGCTGTTGCTGCTGTTGCTTCTGCTGCAGGACACTCGACCTGTGAAGGGGTTTCTGGCATACGAAAGGAAGGCTGTTACAATCGACCTCATCTACTCAGTGTCTTGAGTATTTAGGTTTATGGCCCCTGGTGCAGGTCCACTATTTGTAAACCCTAAACCGTGAATAAAGGTTTAGGGCCTGCTTACGAACACGCATGCGCATTCGCCCGTTTTCTCCCACTGCTGCTTCAAGGTTCTATAGACTGCTGTCGCAGCAGCAGCAAGAGCAGCAGCAGCAACAACAACAACAGCAGAAGCAGCAGCAACAACAACAGCAGAAGCAGCAGCAACTGCAGCAACAGCTAGTACCTCCTGCGCAGCAGTAGAACGCGGGTTTTATTGAGGAGTGGGAGGCCCACTTCTTTTAGTGTTTGGGATTTGGCCCAGGTGTTTGACTGCCATCTGCTAACGGCTTAGGCGTAGGGAGGTGTTGATACAGGTCATAGGGTTGACAGTTTAGGGTTTAGGATTTAGGCTGACAATGTTGTAGGTTCGGCTGCAAGGCGTCAACACGAGAAGAGATGCGTTGTTGCACATTGTAAGCCGTGTGCTTCGGCGAAACGCTCTTGCTCTTGAGGGTGTAGGGGTTAGGGTTTAGGCAATGTGGGGAGGTGACCCTGGGAGTTTGGATTGGGGGGTGTTATTGGCGTTGCCGGTTTATAGTTAGTGGTACTTCAATATTTTTTTAATGGTGGATTAAAAGCAAGAGGATTTCATTATTTGGTATTGCTGCTGTTTCCCTTGTTGCTGCTCTAGCTACTGCTCTAGCTGCTCTTGCAGCAGCCCTCGGGGCTGGCTGCACCTATAACTCGATATTGTTGAAGACAGCCGGTCTAGGGAAATCTTCTTCCTACCTTTAAATTTAAATTATATTTATGACTTATTTGAGGATGCGCGTGCGTCCCAAGCCTTAAGATTGTTGTACGTACACTCTAGCAGCAGCTGCAGCAGCAGCAGCTGCTGCAGCAACAGTTCAGGGAGACCAGCAGCAGCAAGCAGTAGCAAGGAAGACGAGCTCGATGATTTCCCTGCAATAGACAGACAGCAGCATCTACACAGGCAAATGACTTGATTAGTCGCCTGCTGCAGCTGATCAGGTGCTGCTGCCCCTACGCTACTGCTGCTTCTACTGCTGTTGCTGCTCACGTTGTTGCTGCTGTTCCAGGTTAGGTTGTTGTCGCCCTTCTGCTGCCCGTGTATCGAATACTGCAGCTCAGCCTGCTGTTGTCTGCGTTTTTGCCGTTGTTGTTGCTGCTGCTTTTTTCTGCTGCTAAGCTACTACTGCCGTAGTTGCACGAGCTGCTGCGGTTTTTCTTGCTGTTACTACTGCCTCTTTCACATCATTGCACCTTGACTTACCTACCAAGGCCTAAACGTTTTTCTGAAGATGCCCAGCAAACCCCCAAAGGGGAAGGCGCGGGGGAAGAAGGCTGCTTCAAAAGCAGCAGCAGCAAGGAAAGTCAAAGAACCTTTTGTTGCAGCACTTGGTCATCCTCCTGCTTTAGGAGCATGGAGGCCTCTGCCACTGGAGGAGCAAATAGATGCTTTTGCTGCGGCTGCTGCTGCTGGTCCTAATGCTAGAGGGGTCCTCAGCAGCGGGAAGCCAGCAGCGCCACACTACTTCTTTCTCCCATCAAGAAGCACTGTAGCAGCAGTAGGAACTGAAGACGCTGCTGCTGGTGCAGCCGCCACAGGAGGAGCAGCATTAGCAGGAAAAGAGGGGAAGCCGCAGCACCGAAGTGCCCCACTAAACCGGCAGGGTGCTGCTGCGACGACAACAGAGAAGAAATCAGCGGCGGCTGATGCGACCCTTGACCCTTCAGCAGCAGCATCAACAGCAGCAGCTGCTGATGATGCTGCTCTTCGCGGGGGCTGTGTGCATGTTAGCTCGAAATTTAACTCCATGCTGGCAACCCTCAATTCGCTGCAACAAAAGCTGGCAGAACAAGCTAGTAGCAGCAGCAGCAGCAGCAGCATCGATGAGACGGATCCAACAGCTATTAGCGATCGTGTAGTGTACACTGAACTGCAGCGGTTGCTGCTGCTGCTGCAGCAGCCCAATGCACTGAGAAGCCACTTGCGGCACCTTGACGATGTCTACAAGTGGTATCAGAAATTCTGCTGTCCTGAAGAGCAGCAACAGCAACAACAGCAGCAAAAGCAGCAGAAGCAGACGGAGCAAGAGCAGCAGCAACAAGAGCTGCCGCAGCAACAGCAGGAAGAACCATCCGTGTTGCTGGGAGGTTCTCCTTTGGAACCAGCCACAATACCCTTGCCTGGTTCTGCCTTCTGGCAGCAGCAGCTGCTGCTGCTGCAGCTAGAGGGTGATGACGAAGATGACGAGGATGATATGGAAGACTACGAGCAGCTAGAAGAGCAGCAGCAGCAGCAAGAGCAGCAGCAGCAGCCAGAGCAGCAGCAGCAGCAGCAGCCAGAGCAGCAGCAGCAGCAGACAGAGCAGCAAACAGACAATGCATTTTACGACTATATTATGTCGCACATCCCCATATGCACTGCAGCAGACAAATTGAGACTCTACCGAATGAAGCTCCTCTTCAGGCCGTCTCCTGCAAAGCAGCAGCAGCAGCAACAACAGCAGCACCCAGAGAGCAGCAGTAGTAGCAGCACTTGCCCCTTTGACTATAAAATTCCTTGCGGCAATACTCCCTGGGGTCTTGTGCTACCGCGCAACGAAGATGAAGAGGAAGAAACGCCAGAAGTGGCTACGAGGCCGCTTCAATATCAGTACCAGGGTGAGAAGATGCAAATTCTAAACACTAAAACCAAGACCACCAACTATAGATATGGGCGGGGCTTTAGGGGCCACCTCTGCTACAAGTTGAACTAATAAAGACGACACTATATGCTTGCATGTAGGGAGAAATTGTAGTTGATGCTTCTTTCTTGTAAAGGGATGAAAGGCAGTCTAACAATATATTTGCAGCGTAAACCCTACCCTAAAACCTAAACGAACCCTCACTACTGAAACAACTGGAAATCACAAAGACACCGCCCATGCATCCACGTCTAGGCTTTAGGCTGAGCTTATAGTGTTTAGGTGTAAGAATTTCACTTTAAAGTTTAGGGTTTACTGTTCGGGATTAAGGGCTTAGGGTTTAGGGTTTAATATTTGGCACGAACATCGGCTGGATGGCCGAGTGGTCTAAGGCGCTGCGTTCAGGCCGCAGTCCTCGCGGGCGTGGGTTCGAATCCCACTCCAGTCATTACTTGTTGTTTCTGCCCTCTTATTATTTAATTGTTTAAAAGTATATTTTTAAATATTTAAAGTATTTATTTAATTATTTAATTGTAATTTATATGTGTGCAAGGATTAACAACAGCAGAAGCACTGTGGGGCGCATATCACATCCACTGCTTACATTAGGCTGCAGCTTCTAGGGTTGAAGGCTTAGGGCTTAATATTTAGGATTTAGGGTTTAATACTTCGGGTTTAGGGTTTTGGATTGGGGGTCCACTGATGGACGACAACAGTAACCAGTTTTGAATTGAGGGGCTCAAGAGCTCGAACCGCTCTTAGAGTTGCGGGTTTAGGGTTCAGGCAAGAAGGTTCATTTGCTCGCAGCATAGCAGCTCGTGAGGGTTTAGACACACTGCACCTAAACCCAACCAGACCCTTGTTGGGGTTGTTCTCGGGCCAAGGGTTTAGGGTTTAGGGTTTAGGGTTTAGGTGTGTGTTTCTAGGGTACCCTGCATCGGACCGCCGCTCGCTTGTGGAGGCCCAGCTTCATCAGCGATGGTTTGCTGCTCGCCAACGAGAGCATGTTGCAGCAGAGTGTGGCATAAACCCTAAGCCCTAAACTACAGCAGTGGAATCTTGTATGACCGTCCTGCCTGCAATCTATAACTAGGCTTCGTGGTTTAGGGTTTAGGGTTTGCGACGTAGGAAAGAAGCCGAAAAAAAGGAGCAGATAGCGGCTTGGCAGACGCACCGAGACGCCATTGAGCGCCATGTCCAGGGGTATTTGAAGAACCAGACACCCTAGACCCAGAACACTCACCCGAATTATAAACCCTCGCTTCGTAGCTAAATGTAACGGCCGATTGTGTTTGGGGTTTACATAATAAAACATATAGCCCCATTCGCTTCGCGTGACTTGCCAGTCTGGTAACCTCCATAAGATTGCACTGCCAAACCGTAAACACTAGGCCCTAAACCCTGACGCAAACCATAGAACCCAGCCCTTGCTGCCTGCAGGACGATGAAATCCATCTGGACCACTGTCGAGCCCACCACGTACGTTTTTAGGGTGTAGGGTTGGGAATTCTCCACGGCGTGTTTAAAGCCGTCATCAGACGACACTCGACAAGTACACCGAGTGCTCTCTCTTGCTGCTGCTGCTACTGCTGCTGCTGCTACTGCTGCTGCTGCAGGACACAGCGGGCCTTTATGAAGCAACGTTACCGCGCAATGCAGCAAAGACATACGGTTGCAACTTGCAGTCCGGAGGTTTCCCCTCGAGTTCAAAACAAAGCAGCAGAGGAAGAGGAAGAGGACGACGATCCGTGGTTCGATGACGAGCAGCAGCAGCTGCAGCAGCATGAGCAGAAGCAACAGCTGCTCCAGCAGCAGAGGCACCACACATTTGCTGCGGGAGACCCAAGATCCGTCGTTCACACCATTAAGCCTCCCGTGGGTTCGAGGTATAGGGTTTAGGGTAAAGGGTCTAGGGTTTAAAGATTTCCAACACATCTGCCTCGTTCATGGTAGTATAGACGCGAACCTGATTGGAATTTGAACTAGGATTTAGGATTTATAGTTGCGCCTGGTAGGGTTGAAGCTCTGTATGGATCCCAGCGTGCGGTGGTTAGCGCTCAGGGATTATGGGTTAGGTTGGGGGTTTAGGGTTAAAATCTGGATCGTTGAAGGGATTGGGACTTTAGGGAAGGGGGTTGTGGATGTTGCGCTGTGGGCTAGAGAAACCCTGATGGCTCCAGTGAGGGGGCAGCATCAACAGCAACATCAGGAGCAGCAACAGCAGTAACAACGGCAGCGCCAATATCAACAGTAGCAACATCAGCTGCAGCCACATCAGTAGCAGCAGCAGTTATATCTTTTGAGCCAAATGCTGAAGCTAGCGCAGCATCTCGTCGTAGAATAGCTGCGGTGGAGAAAGGTAAGTATTCTGCTGCAGTTGCTGCTGCAGTTGCTGAAGTTGTGGCATGCACTGCTGCTCCCACACATCCTTGCTCTTACCCGTGTTCCGTTGCTGTTTCGTTTGCTGCTGCTGTTGTTGCTGCTTCAGATTGCCCCTCTGCAATGTCGGCGCCAGTGCTGCAACAGCCGAGTGTGTTCGATGCTCTTGCTGCCTATAGACAGCAGCAACAGCAGCAGCTGCTGCTGTTGCGGCAAAAGAAGATGGGAAAGAAAGGAAAAGGAGGAGGAGGAGCAGCAGCGAAGAAACCACCGGCAAAGGGGAAGGGGGCTGCATCGGCTAAGTGAGGTTGCCCTCCCAGCAGCGGCAGCAGCAGCACAAGAAACTGCACAGCAGCAGGAAAACACTTTAGCACAATAGACCGGAACGCTGCTGCTGCTGCAGCAGACACCGCAGCAACACTAACCTGGGGGAAAGATTTGTTTGTCCACAATTGTACTGTGTGCGTCTGCTGTTTAAGGGGAAATTCAAACCAGCAGCAGCAGCAGCAACTGCAGCAGCAGCAACTGCTGCTGCTACCTCCCCTACCTTTCCGTCTGGCTGATCCAGCAGAACAGGCAGCAAAACCCAAGCCCAAGAAAAGAAAGACACACAAGAAGAAGAAGTAATAAGGGAATAGTTGATGCAGCAAGTGCTGCTGCTGCTGCAGCAAGTGCTGCTGCTGCAGCAAGTGCTGCTGCTGCATAGTAAGTGCTGCTGCTCTAACAAGTGCTGCTGCTTTAGTAAGTCCTGCTGTTCTAGCAAGTGCTGCTGCTGCAGCAAGTGCTGCTGCTTCAGCAGCTACTTAGGCTCTAACGGCAGCAGCGTATTCAGCAACAATGGGAGCACTGCAGCAGCAGAGCAAATATGGTGGAGCCAACGAAACAGCAGTGGCAAGGGGAATGAAATGTAACAGCAGCAGAAACAACAGCAGCAACAGCACCGTCTACGGATGGTTTTACTCTTCATGTATATCCCTAAGCAGCTACTAGCAAAGGGCGCCTATTGATGCAGCGGTAGGTACAGTAGCAGCGGCAACTGAAGCAACAACAGCTGCAGCAGTAATCAGCATCTGTAATAGCTGCCTCAGCAGCTGCTGCAGCAGTAGTAGCTGCCTCAGCAGCAGCAGAACCTCCTGCTGCGCCTCGTTCCGTGTGCCACGGCGGTACTATCAGGCGCGTGCTGCTATTCGGGCTGCTTTTGTTTCTAAGGTTGCTGCTGATGCTCGTGTTGCTGCTGTTGCTACGGCGTAAACAATAGACCCTAAACCCTAGCAACACTCACTGTGGAGGAAATGAACCCCAAACTCTCGGGTTGCTGCTGCAGCTCATGAGGACAAAGGCCCTAAACCCTCAATTAAAGAATTTCGTTTTGCTCGTTCAGCAGACAACACCACCAAAGCAGACGAGGGTTTAGGGTTTAGAATGAAACCCCAGTATCAGTCTCGAGGCACTACCGCTGCTGCTGTAGCTGCTGCTGTCGCTGCTACTGTCGCTGCTGCTGCTACTGCTGCACGTGGCTCTGCAGCACGCTATGCAGCAACACTTGCGTTTGCTGCTTTGTGCTGCAGTAGCAACTTGCAGCAGTGGTTGCTTCCGATACACGCTTTTGGCTCAGGCTTCTTCAAGTGTAGGGATCTAGGGTTTAAGGTTTAGAGAGGCTCCTGTAGGAGGAGGGTCTTTCCCTTGTTAATCTGCCCCCACCCAATCAACCGCCAGTGTTTATCGACACGACGACTCAGCGCAACTTTATCTCCAACCTACAGCGACACAAACCAGGGTTTATAGTCTAGCGTTTGACAGCCGCAACCGTCGGGTATACAGGGAATATAGGATCCTTTCTTCCCACCCGCCCCCAAAAAACCGCGGTCCCCAAACCCTAAACCCTAATTCCCAAACCCTACACCATAAACCCTAAACCCACATACCCGAAGCCCCATAGACCTCACCCTGGTGCAGACAGGTCCTGTGAGTTCAAGTTTGGCTATCTCGGGCTTAACCCCCGCTACTCGCGCTCCAACAGAAGTTGATCCAACGTTAACCATAACGAATTCCCCTTTCTTTAGTTTTGACACCTTAGTTGATTTATCTCCCTCCTGAACACCAAATGCTAAGCGACAAACCATAAATCCTAAACCCCACAGAGAGCCGCCCCGAACACTCTAGCAGCCACGTGCACTTCGCATCAAGGTTTCCGTTTCTTCCTCCTACTTCGTTAAACCCTAAACAACCACGGTACTAAACCTTACCAGCGATGCGTGCTACCCCTTCCCGTCCCGCAAACCCTAAACCCTAATCATATGGTTTTACAACCCGCACCTGGCTCTTAACACCTAGAAGTCTCCTAAGGAGATAATAATTAACATCAATCTCGATATAACATTCAGGAAGAAGGCCTGGATGTCCTAATACTTGCCCTACTAGACGATCTGCTCTTGTTAATGTTGGATCTACCTTTGTCCCTACTCCTATTAAACCCCCAGGAACAGCGAACTGAAGGGGGTTTTCCTCAGCAAATAAGGAAACCACCCGAGATGCTATTGGCCTGTATACCGAAAAGAGATAATGTAAATGTTTATTTTATTTTATTAGGTCGTTTAACCCGTTAACGCATATTTAATCTAATGTAATTTATTTTATTTGTTCATGGCGTTAAATTCGTTAATGTATAACCCCAACGCTAACCAACGGCAGAACCGCAGCGAAACCCTGCACAACACCAGCCACCTAGACCCTAAACCCTACCTGCATTGAATGAAACCCGAAGCGTCCTTTGTGATGATACCGGGGCGGATTTCAATTTCATCTCCAACTTTAAGCAAACCCTCGCTGATGGAGCCCCCTGCTACTCCCCCCTGCAGTTTCTCTGCCTCTTCACCCGGCTGCAAGCACCAACAAAACCTAAACCCTAAATCCTGATAAACACCTTCCACCCTTATATTCCTACACCCAAACCTCAAACACCAAATAAACCCCAAACCCTACAACCCAGCCATATACTGCAGACCCTAAATAACCCTACACCTCAAACCCTCAACCCTATACCCTAGATGCGAGCGGACCTTGTTGACATCAAAGGAACGAATGATAATGAGCTGAGGAGGTCTTGTAAAGTCGCGATGAGGGACAGGGACAAGGGTGCAGATAAATTCACATAAGACATCGATGTTGTACCGCAACACCGCAGATACAGGGATAATGGGAGCTTTGTCAGCAGCAGTTCCTGCACAGCAACACCCTAAACCCTAAACCGTAAACCCTAACAGGCCGCCATAAACGCCATTAAAAATAGCCCACACGAACAACAAACACCAAGATCTTACAATCACGTACACAGCCGCTCTGCGCTTCTGCCCTAGTTCTATACAAATCCCAAATCCTAAACCCTTAATCCTAAAACACTTTGCTAGAAGGGAAGCGCGAGGAAAACCCGCAGCAGTTTCGCAACCGGCACGGTTTAGAGTTCGTACCTGCTACAAACTGCTTTATTTCTTGCTGCTGCTGCAGAGCCTGTGACTCCTTAATCAGCTCGACCTTGTTCTGCACCCAGCCACAAGCCCTAAACCCTAAACCCTAGATATCGCAGGAAGGTGTTTCCACCACAGCTCTAGCCCTAAATTCCAAAGCCTGGGCGCCAAGCAGCCCATGATGAAGCCCTGTAAAACCCTCGGCTACGAGCACTCCTGCGGGCGCATGTAGGGTTTAGGGTTTGTGCTTGTTACCTGCAAGATGATGATATGCTGCAGCCTCATAATCTCTACTGCAGCAAGATGTTCTGATGTTTGCGGCTGAGGGCAACTCTCATTGCCAGCAATAAGCAGCAATGCTGCATCCATTACTGCTGCTCCGTTTAACATCGTAGCCATAAGAATATCGTGCCCCGGACAATCCACGAACGAGACGTGTCTGTACATCCCAGATATCAAACCCTAAACCCTAAAACCTAACGTTTTGCAGAAATGGGAAGCGGTATCCACGGATTAGGAAACAAACGGCTGCAGTGGAAAACACCAGCGGAGAGGCTGTTGCCTCCACCCAGATGTACAGAAAAACTGTATACCCTAAACCCTCAGTGAACCCTAAACCCTCACCGCATGAGCTTCATCTTGGCGCCGCAACCAGGACGGAGACATGGAGGATCATCCTCCTTTGAAGAGCCATAGGACCGATAACACTCAGGAGGAGGACATTCAGGGTTTGTGCATTTGTATATCTTCGCGTTTGCGTACCTGTACATGAACCCCAGCACAAACCGTAAACCCTAAACCCGCAGAGTATGAAGCTGGAAACCACAAAAATAACCTCATACATACTCACAACTCTAAATGAACCCTAAATCATCAAACCCTTTACGTCACCACTCTATCATACTGTCTCTATCCAATATCCCCAAATTGCCCCCCAGACCCTAAACCCTAATCTCTTGCCCAGCGCCTCACCCAAGCTTGATGGTGATATTTCTCTCCTTTTCGTGCTTAAAACGAACTGTCTGTACGCCAGAGACAGCGCGGACTACTGTTGACTTTCCGTGAGCCACATGGCCAATCGTTCCGAAGTTAATCGTCGCCTGAAAACAAACAGCCAAACACTAAGCCCTAGGCCCTAGACGCTGCAGCCTCCGTGGCCTGAAGCGTCTCGCCAACCCCACACACTCTGCACCAGAAAAAAGGACAGATCAAAGGGTTTGGGGTTTGCATGTACTTGACGGCTTATAACTTCCGGAGATAAGGGTGTCAGCTTGGCTATGTCCAGCTTCGACAAGTCCTGAGCACAAACAACTCTAAAACCTAAACCCTAAAGACAAAGCCCTAGGGGCCAAATGGGCTATTCTAGTGAGCTCAATGAAGCCACAGGCTCAGTCCCTCGAAATCCTGCGAATCCAATTCTTCAACCCTAACCCGAATTATCACATGCTCCCCCCAGAGCCCTAAACCGTAAACCGTAAACCCGCACCTGGGGAAGGAGGTGGTCCACTGCGGCCGCCATTTTCCCACACGTTGATTTTCCAGTCGCTGCACAAGCGAAGCAAACCCTTAGTTCCTAACCCTAAACCATAGGTCCAAAACAAACCCAAAACCCTAACGCCGTATGCTTCACTCTTCAGCAGCTCCCCCACCACCCCACGCCCCCGACTGAAAGACTATCGAATAAGAAAGACATCTGATGCTTTGCAACACTTTAAGGCGAAAGTTCGCCTCTACCTGCTCCATAAACCCTAAACCTTAAACCCAAAGCCCCAAACCCTAGGCAGTGGAGCGAACACTCACGAGGCCGCAGGCCACGTATGGGCTCTGGGTTGAGAAGAAGACAAAATAAAACCCAAATTACAAACCCCAATGTCAGCAAATTGTGTTCTATGGTTTAGGGTTTAGGGCTTTAGGTTTTAGCGTTAACGGTTTCACACCCACGGGTTTTGCATGCAGCGCTGCTGGCAAGCCCCGACAACTCCGCATGTGCAGCAAAGAAAAAGCCGTTCAAAAATAGGTTATAATTTGCTTTTTATATTGTTATTGTTCATCTTTGCTGCATTTGAAGCAAAGATGTTGAGAAAACAAACAAATATTTAGGTGTATATACACCTCAGTCTAACTCGATACTGGCTGCCGACACCCGCTGCACAGAGCTAAACCCTCAGTAGGGTTTTCGCCTTAATCCTAGGATTTACGATTTAGTGTGTAGGGGTTTGCAAAACGCTTGAAAGGATTAGCATTGAGCCCCACTGCAACGGTTCCTGCAGCGACGGCGCCACCCGCAACATAATCATGTGCGACTGCAGCAACATAGCAACAGCAGCAAGAGAATCAGCGGAAACAGCACAACAGCAGCAACAGTGGCACACCAACAAGGATAACGACAAGAGAAACCTTGTTTGAAGGAATATAATCAGCAGCAACAGCCGAAGCAGCAACAGCAAAAGCAAGAGCAGCAAGAACAGCAGCAGCAACAACTACCAGGCTGTCCGCGATCTCTCTCGTGTCATGTATTATAGACGGGTCCCGATGGTTTGGATTCGGTGTTTATCTTCGGGGCCTGCGGCTTATGATTTAGGATCTGGGGTTTAGGGTTCAGGATGCTGCGGGGTTCTCGCGTGCTACTAGGGGGAGGCCCCGGTCGTTCTCTTTGCAACCCTACGGCTCATGGCCTCTCTGATGGGCCTTACCGTCGTCTTAAGTTTGTCTTAAACCGTCAAATAGCTCGAAAACGATACAGAGTAAACTCTAGACCCTCAACACTAAACCCTAGACCCTAACCGTTGGGGCATCTGCTCCAAGGCTCCAGCTGCCGCCCTCAGGGGTTTTGTGCTCCCTCGCTTTAGTAGACTTTGAGGCTTGGGATTTCGCATTTGGATTTAGGGTTTTGGGTTTATGGTTTAGAGTCTGCGAGCAGGATGTTTTGGTCTCTGCGGACGTTGATGGGTTGTTGTGTACGGCGAGCGAGTTGCTGCTGAACTCTGCCCCTTACTATTCCCTCTTGTCTTCTGCTTTGGGATCGTCTCCCAAGGCGACCCCCGAGGCTACCTCCAAGACGATCCCCAGAGGGACAGTAAAAAGTGAAGGTTTTTGGAGTGTTTTTGGTAGACGAGCAAAGGACAGCATTCACCTCTTTTCCCCGCAAGATGCAGCACTCGTTGCTGCTGCCTTGCATGCGCATGACAGAGACACAGGCAGGTTTTGGATTTGGGGTTTAGGGTTTTACAAAGAACTCATAACTTTACATGATGAGGCCAGGAGTTACCCCCACGGCTTTAGGCTTGGGAGGCGCGGGTTTGAGGGTCTGGCTCTTAGGTATATCGCTTGGGTTAGGCATTCGAAAGTTGTAATAAAGACACTAGGGTTTAGGGTTTGGGATTTGGGTTTCAGGGTTTTTCGTCGCCTTGGCGCCTTTGTTCGGCGCTCTTGATTCTGCCCCAAGCCGCAGCGGAACGCGCCGTCGCATGCAGCAGCAGCAGCTGCTGCTGCAGCACCGTCAGCACGCAGCAGCAGCAGCTGCTGCTGCAACGGAAGCCTCTGCAGCAGCAGGAGTGACGCCTGCAGGTGCGGCAGTTGCTGCAGCAGCAGCAGCAGCAGCGGCAAATGAACCTCTCTCCCCCGGGAAGGGTTTATTTGTTTTATTTGGGTTGTTAGCTGCAAGAATTAAACCATTAGATGCCTATCCCGAGGTGTACGTACACCTCAATTGCCTCTTACCAAGGGTTATTCATCAACTATCAGGTACTGCATTTCCCTACTTCCTAATACTGCTTGCAAGCTGCAGATCAAGGGTGCCAGGTTTAGGGTTTGGGGTTTAGTGCCTCTCGTCGCCTTCTGATTTCTGCAGGAAGCGAAGTTCTGCGGATTTTAGAGGCAGCGACACCGAAACAGCAGCAGCAGCAGCAGGTGGAGCAGCAACTGCAGCTGCTCGGTCGTCTTGTGTGGCGCAAGATCGCGGCTTCTGTTCCCTTCTTCCAACCTGCAGGTACGCCACACCCTAAACCCTAATGCCGGCGTGACACTTTTCCGCCGTAGTGCTTCGCAGGACATGTCTAGGGTTTAGGGTTTACGGTTTAGGTCTTGTATTCAGAACTAAACAGGACAGTCCTCGCGCTAAACGGTTGCGGCCTTCGCGTGCCTCCCCTCCTCAAACAAATCGAAGACAGAGCGCTGGCTGTACACTCCCAATTTTCAGTAAATCCTGAACCCCAAACCCAATATTGTCAGCCGTGCGGAGAGCCTGAGAGGCATAACGAAACAGAGGGTGCCTGGAAGCTAGCTGTAGTGAGATTTTTGCGAGGCGTTGGTTATTGAATCATAATTTGGAGGGTTTAGGATTAATGGTTTGGGTCTTCAGGCTGCTGATGCGCTGGAGCTACTTCGGGGTTTTGCTGCTGCTGCGTTTGACTGCGATGCATTGCTGCAATCTTTCGAACCGCTGCTGCTGCAGCACGCCAGCACCTTAACGAGGTGAGGGATTGAGGTTTAGGGTTTAGAGTTTAGGTTTTACCGTGAAGGGTTCGAGATTTAGGCATTGTGGCGCTGCTTTTGTGTGTCGTATTCAGGAAAGAAGTGCATCTGCTGCAGCACCTAATAGACGAAGCAGATCACTCAAATTGTAGGTCTCTCAAGACAGCCTTAAATGCGTTGTAGCCGTGACAGTGCATATAAAGAAGCAAAAGCAGCAGAAGCAGCAACTGCTGCGGTTCCTGCTGCTGAAGCTGCTGCAACGGCTGACCGGACGAATAAGCTTTAGTTATCGTACCCATAGGAGTGCATTTAATTGTTACGCACTGCACGCTACGTACAGCTTTATCACCGCTGCGGTGCTGCGCTGGTATAGTCGTAAATCGTAGACGCTCAACAGCGCCCTTGTACGGTTAAGGTAACCGCGAGACATGGTGGCATTGATTTTTTGAATCGTATGATGTTTAACAGTTTCTAGGTTGATCCATAGTTTCAGGGTAAACGAAGGCCTAGTGAGATTATGTTTTAGGTTTTAGGGTTTAGGGTTTGAGGCGCTGCCTACAAGCGACTACTACGTTGACGGCGGCAGCATTGGGCGTCGTTATTTAGGTGTCTGCGCCTCTTTGGCTATTTCTTATAAAAATATACAAAATATAAAGAATAATAATCCATTTGAAGGCAATTGCATCACCACAGCAGCAGCAAGAACAGCAACTGCAGCAGCCGCAGCACCAGCAGCACCGGCAACGCCTGAGCCTAGGACGCTCGCTCTCCTGTCTCTGCGCGCAGTGTATCAATAATTATTTATGTGGATTTAATTTAATTCATTTAACATAGTTCATCCAATTTAATGTATTTACCGTTTATTGATTTAGTTTAGTTTAACTTAATTGAATACATAGGTTCTATTCTGCTTCGTCCCCGGCTGCAATCGGGGTGTCTGTGCTGCTAGCTGCTGGGCATGAGTGCTCACCAGCAGCAGCAGGAACAACAGCACCAGCAAAAGCAGCGGAAGGCTTTATTCTTTAAAGTCGCATAACAAATGTGTTATTGAAAGAAGGAGGCAGCGGAAACAGCCGGAGCAGCATCCGCAAAAACTTCAGCACAGACAGCGCCTGGAAAATAGCAGCATCGATAACAGCCCGAACAGAACCCTAAACCCCAAACCATAAACTCGAAACAAGCAAATAAGAAATATAAAGACAAAGGAGGTATTCAACAGAATATGGGGGGATCAGCAAGCACAGTGAAGGTATTTCATTGCCGCTCAATTACTTCTCTGTTCCCTATATTAATGCAAAACGCTCGTTATCGTATATATCACAGATTAGGGTTTAGGGTTCTACGGTTTACGTAAAGAGGGTCCATTATTTGACTGTGTGTTTAATGGGTTTCGTTCCACCTTATTGTATGTAGGATGCCTTCGACTGTGTTTGTTTTGTTTACGGATATGGGTTTAGGGTTTGGTGTTTGCTTTACATTGCAACAAACACAGATGTCTGTGGTCTCTTTCTCTTAGCAGTTTCCTCTGTGTTTTTGTCGTTTGTTCATTCTATTTTTGTTTATTTTTTATTTCTTTCCCATCGTGTATATTTGCCTTCTTCGGTAAACTGTTTAGCTCATTAATTTTATTTTTCAGTTTTTACTTACTTTTTGTCTTGTTTCCTTTTAAATATTCTTATTAGGTGCCTATTCCTGACTTTGTTTGGTTGACCGAAGTCCCATTCATTCGTATTGCTGACAAAACCACTGCAGAGTAAGCTAAACCCTAGGCCATAGACGCTAAACCCTAAACCGAAAACAGGCAAGTAGAAACAATATAAATCATGCGGTTATTAGTTTGTTCTGTGTTGTTCCTTTCCTTACTGCCTTTGCTAATGTTTAGCACTAGTTTCATTGTATTTTATTATTTATTTATATTTCTTTTGCAGCGGTCTAGCACTAGTTTCATTGTATTTTATTATTTATTTATATTTCTTTTGCAGCGGTCTAATTTATTTGCCTTCTCTTCTTTGTGTCTTTTAGATCTAATTCTTACCTTCCTCTCATTCCTTCCATTCTCTTTCTTCTGTTTCTTTTTATTTTATATTTGTTTTTGCTTTTATGCTTCATTCTTTATTTTTGTCTACTGTTTCCCTCTCCCTTTCCCGTTATTCTCTTCCCTTTTATAATTGTAATTAAACCCTTTCTGCTGCCTCCGTTTATGCGATTAAACCCCCTTTTAGGGTTTGTCTGACGGTAAACGCCACTTGCTGCGCTCGTCTGCTGCTAACGCAAGACGGAGGAGAGGATAAATTAGCGACAGATTTCCTCTTACAAGAAAATACAGAGAAGACCATAACCCTTCAAGGCCTCAAACCAGGTTAGGGTTTAGGCTTTCCGGCTAGGAGTTAACCTCTTCTAAAACGCAAGTGACGAATTCGCATTACATGAGCTTCTAGGGTGTAGATGAGAATTAAAGGTGTATCCTTGGTGCGTACATAATATATACATACATAGAAATATACATTTATATATGCCGCATTGTTGTTTTTACTGCTGCTGCTTGCATGCATTTAGGGTGTCTGTACAGGGCTCATTTCCTATACAGGGGTTCCTTACCTCGTGGATTTTTTCTTTATTTATGTGTAGAAGAAAACAAAAGAAAAAAGAGGGACAAAGATATAAAATGTTATTTCTTACAAGAAGAAACAAAAGAAGAAATCTCCCTCCTAAGAAAGGCACGGAAATATCCGCTCTTAGCTATTCGTCAGCCATCAACTTTTCCATCCTTCTATGAAATCAAAACTCTCCCTCAGGCGTGGGGAACGCCAACGACTTCTATTCAACCAACTCAACAACACTACACACAGTCACACCAACAGCTAACTAGCTAGATAGGCAGCTATTTAGGTATGTAGCTGGGTAGATAGCTAGCTGTGGTGTGACTGCGTGTCTGGGTAGCTAGCTACTAAGGTGGAGGCGGACTGTTGAATTGTCACCTGCATAGATAGCTACCCAGCTAGCTAACGAGATAGCTGGATAGCTAGTTAGCCACCCAGCTAACTTGGTATACCCAGCTGGCTGGCTAGCTGGCCACATTGCTATCGTGCTGCCTAGCTAGCTAGGTCGATATTCAGCTGTGGCTGTGTAGGCCACACCCGCAGCTGGCTGTGCCTCGGGGTGAATGCTGCAGACCCATTGGGCTTGCGTTCTAGGGTCATCAAATAACTCGTCACTTACGTCCGAGCGGTTTTGGTGTGCTTGGTTTTAAAGTCACTCGTCACATAGTTACGTGTAAGGGCTTGAGCTCGGGTCTAAACCACTCTAGACCACGTCCTGGGAACGCTGTTATTTAGTTTTAACATTTTCTTAATTATCTGAATTATATGACGCATGGAAGAAGGGTTGGTGTAGACCATCATTGTCTCTGTGTGCCTGCGACAAAGGCAACCAGCCAAAGCCAAGCTGCTCGAGATATATTGGAATGGGCAAAAGAAGCAAACAAAAGTATATGAAAAAGGCACTAAGAGCGGCCCAAGAGCCAAACAGATACGAGCACACAGAGTAAACGGACAATAAAACAGACGCAACACGATACCAGCACACACAGATCACCAGTGTTCGAGTACACAGAACTGACTCTGCAAGCGTACACCCCAACCATACTAGTAACGGATTCTTTCTCAGCACTAGTTCACCCCGATACCGCGTATGAGGCCAACTGTGTTTCTGTGCATGTGGTGGCGTCGTAGGCCTTTCTTCCGGAGTGAGAGCTGGAACGGGTCGACAGAAGCTCTACGAGCACGCCTCCATGGTACTTTTAAGGACAGGCTATGCGTCACGCTCACGCATGTGTGACCGCACTGATCCATAGAAAGCCAGCATACAAGCTTTACGACGTTGTATGCGTCACACTCGTGCCTGAGCGATCACACACATCCATAGAAAGCCAGGGACCTGTTTCAAACACCAATGTTTCCACAGACACATGGAAAATGTCTTCGGTGTTTCACAGCCAGCCGATAATAGTGGTTAACCGCCTACTGCAAACGGATGCTTAGTTACTCCAACCTTCAGAATTTGCTATGGAATGTAGGGTGCCTGCTTTGCTGGGGGTCCTCAGATCAACTGTCGCATGCATGCAACGAGGGTAGACCCAACCAATCCGATGAGCCGCATTTGCGTTTAGTTTTTTCATGTTAACCACTAGCTCAGTGCGTTCTCTGTTTAGCTTGCTCCTCATGAAAGAGGAGCAAGCTAAACAGAGAACGCACTGAGCTAGTGGTTAACCAGAACTGCGCCTAAGTGCTGAGGATCACTGTAGGCGCTTTGCAGAAACAACTGTCCAGCGGGAAGTCAAACAAAGTGTGAATCCAAAGACTTGCCCAGTATAAGGCTTCCACACGGTTATTCCAGTATTGCGTCGAGGCGTCTTTAAAATGCTTGCGGAGTAACAAGTTTACCACATCGTATGATCAAAGCAGCGTTACTTCTGTGATTAGTCCGAACCGAGATTTGCATTGTGCCTTGTGTGCCTTTGTATTTAGGCCGATTCAAAGAGCTCCAACCAAAAGTCTCTGTACACAAACAGAACAGAGCATAGAACAGACGGTTGAGATAGCAAGACTTACAAGCTTGCACTGTTTGCAAACGTATGCCTGTATCTCTAAATGACGGATACAAGAAGATCCAGTGGAAGCACTGACTCGGTGAGCTGCAGCAAATGCAACAAAATACGTTTTGCTTTGCAGCGGACATGCTACTCTTTTTTTTAATGTTTTTCTTTGAACATTTCTCCTCTAAGCCAGCAGTGGGGATCATTATTGGCTGCTCTACTTGTTGAGCACTTTTTGCCATATTGGTCAAGTCGCTGTGCTGTGCCGCATGTGTATGCAGTTGTCATTAGTTCCTCCCTTCCTTCTTTAATTTAATTTTGTGAATAAATGTACTTTGCATGAGTAAGATCAATGCAGCATACTTCGTTATCCATGGCAGCACCCACGTAAGTGGTAAGCTGTGCTCGTCCGGTGGTCTGGCGGCACATTTGTACAACTTGATGACGCCGTCCCAGCATTACACATAATCCATTGTTGCTAATGCTGTTGCTTATTTAATTTATTTGTTGTCGTGCGTGTTTACAGACCCAATTAGGGCAAAATGAAGGCGCCACAAACAGGAGAAGAGGAGGATCCATCGCTTTTTGTCTGTGAAGGCGAAGGTAAGGACAATGTAAGGTTGTGCTGCATAGGAGCACGCGTAGGACTTAGGCGTGGGAATGCCAGGGGTGGTAGGTTTCGATGCAGGTGGTGGCATCATTCGAGGCGTGAGGGGTCAAGGTGCTCTTGAGGTACTGTCGTGTGAGGGAAGTTGGTTGGAGCATTGGGACAGGCGAGGCCTGATGTAGGTGACGTAAGCATTCTTCGCAGTGCTGCTTTATTAGAGCAGCGCTGCGCAGAAGTGTTTATGTCGCGTCGCGTCGCAATTCGGTTTGACAAGAGGACAATTGGGCTTGTGACCATGGATACTTCACCTGTGCGACAGGGAAGTCTGTTGGTTGCAAGGATGGTTGGTAGCAGGAGTGAGTGTTCTGGGGTACAATAGGTCTGCTATTAGCACTCCCCATAACCCCTAAAGAGGCTGATTCTGGGTTGTTGGCAAGTTGTTGGTGTTGTATTGGTGTGTTCTGCGGAGAGTTAGGAGAGCAAAGGGAAGTGCGCTGCGAGTACTATGTGATCGTATGTTCTCTATAGAGCATGCCTGAATCGCATGGAATCTTGGGCGCTAGGAAGGCATGGTTCGTTATCCAAGGATATTGAATTGTTCTTCGTTGTCAGTTAACGAGGGCAGCTAATATGCTCAGTTAACGATGGCCAA